CACCCAGAGGGCGGGGTCAGGATTGGAGGAACACCCAGAGGGCGGGGTCAGGCAGGGGGTGCGGGCCGGAGCTGTCACGTGTTGCGCGGCCCCGGTCTCCGTCATCCGTCACGTGCCCAGGGTGCGGCCTCGGGCTCTCAGTTGTTTGTCGCGGCGGTCGGAGCGATGGCGGCGGTGTGTGGAGACACGGAGCGCCTGGAGGCTGAGTTGACGTGCGCCGTTTGCCTGGACCTGTTCCGGGAGCCGGTGACGGCGCCATGCGGTCACAATTTCTGCCGCAGCTGCCTTGCGCAGTTCTGGGCCGAGGATCGGCATCACTTTCTCGGCTTCACCTGCCCGCAGTGCCGCCGTCACTTCTCCGAGAGGCCCGAGCTGCAGCCCAACCGTGTCCTGTGCGCCGTGGTCGAGGAGTTCGAGCGGAACCGGGCGCAGGCCGAGCCCAAGTTCCCGGTCCCTGAGGCCAAGCCCCCGGCTGCTGTGGCCTGCGATGCGTGTCCTCCCGGAGCTGGGGCCTCGGCGGTCCGCAGCTGCCTGACCTGCCTGGCCTCCTTCTGCGCTGAGCACCTGGAGCCGCACCGACAGAGCGCGGCCTTCCGCACCCACAACCTGCAGCCCCCGCTGGCTGACCTGGCCGAGCGCCTCTGCCCCAGCCATGGCAACCTGCTCGAATTCTACTGCCGCCCCCACAGTAGCTGCCTCTGCGCTGCCTGCCTCCTGGATCACCGCGGCTGTGACGCCCAGAAAATGGAGGAGGCCCGAAGGCAGCAGGAGGTGAGGGGGGTAAACAAGGCGACACTTGGGGAGGGGGTGTGAGCAGGGGGAGTGTATGGCATATGGGAGGGAGTGAGGGGCAAGAGGTGACGGAGTGGCAAGTGGGATGGTTTGGACAGTAAAAAGAGGGGCAAAAGGCTGAGGGGTTGGTTTGACAAGGGGACCATAGGTAACAGGGAGAAGTGGAGTGTAAACAAGACGACTGGCTGGGAGTGCAGGCAGGGGGAATGGCTTGAAGGTTGTGGGGCAAAACGGATATGAAGGAGGACAGGCAGAGGAGGATAAAACCAAGGGACATTTGGCAGGTTGTGAAGTTGGGATGAGAGTGTGTAGAAGTCTGGGTGACAGGAGTGGGTGGGGAGTAGGGTGTTGGAAATGTGGAGGAGGGACAGCTATGGTGGGGAAGTTGGGGATGAGGACAGGGGATCATTGAGGGGAGGTCAGTGGAGTAAGTGGCGAAGACCAACCACAGATTCACCACTGTGAGGCTGTACCCTCGGGGCCCTAGTCTCTGCTACGAATAGAACCTTATCTCCATGTCCATTCTGTCTGGCATGTCAGCATTCTGTAAGTTTCAATCAGAGATCCCCCTCATGTTTCTAAACTCTGTCGATTACAGACTGAGTCATCAACAACTGCTGATAACAAGCCCTACATCCCCGGGACCATTCTTGTAAACCCCCTTCTGGAGCCCCTCCAACACCAGCACGTCCTCCCTCAGATACGGGGACCAAAACTGCTCTCAATATTCCAACTACACAGGGAGAGAGCATGGAGGTGAGGGCAGGGCCAGGAAGGAGGGGTGGTAAGGGAGCAGATGTGGTTGGGGCAGGGTGAGGTGCTATTGGTGATTTATGGTTATGGGGTAGTTGTGTACTTGAATTCTTGCTATGAAGGCCAGCATATTATTTTCCTTGACTACCTGTTTACCCATCTGTGATTGGTTCATGAGGGCACCAGATCTTTTTGCACATTCCCCTCTCTCATTTTATAGCCGTTCAGATGTTCTACCTTCCTGTTTTTGCTCCCAAAGTGGATAACCTCACATTAACCACACAGCATCCCACTTGCCATACACTTGTGCATTCACTTGTCAAAATCACACTGAAGGATCTCTCATCCTCCTCACACCTCTCTCCCACCTGACCTCATGCCATCTACAAACTTGGAGATAAAATGCACATCTAAATCAATATTTGTGAATACTGGGATCCTAACACCTCCCCCCTACTGCCCTCTTTTCCCACCCCAATTCCCCCCATACTCCCTCTTTCTCTTCCCCTCCCAGTTCTTCTCCCTGTCCCTCTTTTGTTGCCTCTGATGGTAATAGGGATACGCTTGCTGAGTCTGTTGTGAGCCTGCAGCTGTTTCTGGTGCTGTTATGGATGGTTGCTTGGCAGGCTTTGTAATATGCATGTGTTCACAAATTAGCTCTGATTGAGAAACCAAAACTAACATGTCAGTTGGTGTTTAGAGGAGTGGATGATTCCTCAATGTTACTTTCCTGGCAGCTCAGGACTGACGTTACGGGGCAGGGTCCAGTTTAACTGGTGCAAAAGCAGGTTTTACAGTGGTTGTCCTTTTAGGCAAGCCCTTGAGCTCGTTTCATGCAATGAAGTTAAACTGGAACAATATGTAACATCAGACACAGCTACAGTTCCTTCAACAGTTGTCAGGAAAGATATGCTCACAGTAGAGTGAGCAAAAGATATTGACTGGAATATTGCCATAAATAATGTTAACAATGAGGAAGAATGGAATTGACTGTGGTAGAAGGTTGAGGGGAAATTCAATTAAGATGTGTAACATTGAGGGACCAAGGAGGAATGATTGAATGGATCTGTTTCCCTTAATAGTTCCAACAGTAACTCTTGGCAAAGATTTAAAATATTTACAAAGGGAGGATGGGAGGATCCTGGAACTTTGCCTGAAAAAGTAGTAGAGACAGAAACACTCAAATTGAAGTAGTGGTAGAAATCACATGACACAGTTTGAACTAAACCTGGCATTATGTGATTTCTGACCTTGTCCACCTCATTGCAACACCGGCACCTCCATGTCATGAAGTAGTGCCAGGAAGAGACATGACCTGCTGGTTCTGTTTCTGGCTTGTTGCAATTGGACACAGGATTGTTGAGTAATATTTGATCTTTGATAAGCTGTGTTTGATCATTGATTGTTATGCAATGACATGGATACAGTCACCTGCACAATAACCAGGGGAGATTGAGATGCAGGCTTGCTCTGCAGACTGTCTATAGAGCATTCGATTAATACATTGTAGTGACCTAGACACTGATGTTTGGAATGTCAATGTTAAAGAAAATAGCTCTAAATGCAGTAAAGGTCTGGCAAAATCAGTTCATAGTATTGTTGAGCACATTACCATATTCAGGAAGTATTAGATTGGTTCATTGCAA